TGTGTGTAAATACAAACCATAGCAACACTTTTTTTTTTAACAACAAACTAAAATGCGCTGCATAACAACTCGATTGCATAATTTAGTGAGTATGAGTAAGTTCAGTCAAAAGCATCAAGGTATTTAAAAGAGAGAGTGCGAGTAAGGAGCAAGCATAAATATGTATGCATGTGTAATGTAAGTGTCTGTGTATTTATTTAGTGCGAACGCCCGCTACCGTCAACATCACGACAAACTGGCAAGCCGACTGCACTCACAATTAGCTTGGGGTTAATGCAGCAATTTATGTCGCTCACTTAATTTTTGAGGCCTACAAACACCAACACATAAACGGATACCAAAAAAAGCAAATACATACCTGCATACATTTAAATTTTGTACCTTTAAAACAATTGCTCCTTTTAGCGCAGCGGAAAACTTCGAACGAAATATGATTTGACTGCACTAACCCATTTCTAAAAACAAAAAAAAATAAATAAAAATTGTGGTAATTTCGTCATTTGGCTAATTTTCTGCAATTGCACAGCTCCACCAGTGAACTTTAATAATTTATTTTTTTCTCACATTTTCTATTTACTAATTCGCGTATGCCATTAAAAGCGTCGAAGTGACATAATGTTTAGACAAATTATGTCAGTATTTATGGTTGTCTTCAGCGCGCGTTTGGCCGAAGTGCTAAGTGTTTTGAAACCTTTTTTTTTTTTGGTTAGGCAATGCAACAATAAAGCACGCAGTGGCCGCGGCTATCTCCATCTTTGTTGTTCGCCCCACTCTTGCGGTTAACAGCCGTTTTTGGTCTGCGACATCGTAATATATAATTGAAGACAACAACAAACATTTCAAATGACCTTCAAAAGCTTACAATTTTTAATTTTTATTTTTTTGTTGCTTGTTGACACTTTTTTTTATACTTTGTCGTATTTTCGTTTTGGCAACTCGTATCAGTCGATTGTAAAATGGTTGAGTGTCGTGATTAATGCACGCTCGCGGTAAAGTGCGTAAATTGTCCAATTTGTGGTTCTACGACAGTTATTGCAATATCAGTTCGAAATTATTTCGGCCTATGTCATTTGTAATTACGTGCGCGCTACATACTATTTGGTATTTTTGTGGGAAGCTTGTGATTACAAAGAAATATAATAAAGTTATTTACGAGTACTGTAAATTTTAAAAGCTGTTATTATTTCCTTCAAAGTTCATTTTAAGTAATTATTACTTGGTGCTCAAGCAGAGCTGTCAGATTAGGTTAGGTTCTGTAGCAGCCCTTACCGGGCTCACTTATCAAAGCTGCTTACTTCTTAGCTCGGTTAAAGCAGAATGCCTATCTAGCTGCACCAGTAGTATTCAGAAATTATTCTTGATGACTCGCTGAGTGGATTTATATTGGACACTTCCCAGTCAATATTAGAGTATATACCAGAATCTAGAAATACCTTCCAACTACATACTAGATCAAAGTTTTCGCACATTGCTCGTCCAGGCAAGTTAGCACGGAACTGTCTAAAGAAATTCAGTAGGCTGTCAGAAGAATCCTTATCCTATCAGCCCAGGAGAAACGATCTTAAGCGTACATATCTTGCCAACTCATCAGCTAAAACTTTTATTTGTTGTTTGCTTTTAAAAATCAATTCGAATATACGCAAAACTACCTTTTTTAAGTATTTATTTAAATGCGACCAAAAGGGAGATCAGAAAATTTCCGACAAATTTTTATCGGATTCTAATCAAACCTTAGACCCTTTTACCGCTTCGCTATCAATATAAATACTAACCCACTGACCTTTCTAAAAAAAGTCCCCTTCTGGCTAATTTACTGTGATAATCTGGAAATGAAAATTTGAGTTGGAAGTAGAATCCTTGAAAGAACATATCCTCTCCCAATCTACCGTTCAATATATCTAACCGCCCATTTCATTCATCATTTGATGTATTTGAGTAAGAAGGGATCCTCTCTAAGCCATCGGCGACATATCCGTTTACTTTGAGGTACTTATGAAATCAAAATTTTCAAAAATTGCTCCTCAGCCTAGTAGCGGAAGGGGCTATGACCGCTTTTCCTCCTATAGCTACGACTAAAGCATTAAGTAAAGCAACTAGAGCATTAAGTAGCCGAAGATGGCTCAGAAGTGTTCTACTGTCGAAGGGTAGCCCATTGAACGCACTCCACTTGCATAACTAATTCTGTCCTCTCTAACAATTTTTGCCAGCTAAACTTCATAAAAAATAATTTTCTTATTTAAGGTAAAATAAAGCCAATAAGTTACTTTCAGCAATGGGCTCCATCTTCTATCAGCGGTGCTCCTGCAGCAATTCGGAGCCAATGATGTCTTCTCTTTTTGGTACTTCAATATATTTTCAATTTCTGTTGCTTGTGACTGTCCTATATGCAGGAAATCAAACCATTAAACTGTAAATTTGATTTTTTTAAAACTAACAAAACTCAACTAAGGTAAGCAGTCATGAAATAAAAAGCAATACGGATATGCGGTTGAGTAACTTAGCTAATTGTATATTTCTTCGTTTGAGAGTGGGTGTAAACATGGCTATACCAAGGAAGGAGAAATGGAAGTACATACATAAGGAGAGAATAAATATGATAGGTGGTTGCTCGTCAAAAAAGAAAATGAGAGACTGCGTAGGTATGAGAGCAATAGACTCAGCTCTCTTTGATCTACACAAGATTTAATAGTTGAATTTTTGCAAAGTATTTAATTTTCTTATGTTAATCGTTATAGTACAAAAATAAACGGCAATAATAAAATCAGAAGAGATTCTTATGGGACAAAATTTGCTCAGTCGGAGCATATATGGTTTTTGTTAAATAATAAACTATGCTTTTATAAAAAATAATTAAATTTATCATCAATAAAATAAATAGTCAAAACTTGTTAATATGTAGGTGACGTATAGTCACGATAAGCACTATATTGTGATGTGATAATGTTGTCCGCCTTTATTTGGTGGTTCTACTAAACCGATTAAGGAACCAAAAAAAACTATTGCAAAGGTAATTTTCTATAGATGACCAGAGTTTGAGGCCTACAACCAGAGAAGGAGAATAGGAAGATGAACCCGAAGACAAATACCGAAACAAAGACAAAGTCAAACATGGATACGAAAACAAGTAAGAACAATATAAGTATAAAACTAGGGACTAAAATTACGATGAGAAAACCTTCGTGACCTTTAAAAAAAACCATCAAAGCGGAAAACTTTCATCATACAAAGGAACTCTTAGTTTTTATTGAAGCTCAAATAGTCATTGAGGCAGGACTCAAAGTTGTGTAAGGTATAGAAAACAAGCTGATGAGCTAGCCAAAGCGGATGTTATGCTATGCGCCTCACTAGCGATGCTTAAGTATACCAGATACTCCACAAGGATCAAACGTTCTTGCGATCTGCTCAGGCGGGGTTACAAAGGCTATTTGTAGATCATACTATATGTAGAAAGCTTAACGATTTTAATTGGCAGTTAAATTTTGGCGAAAACTTTAGGCGATCAGAACTTTTCCAGCAGCTTACAATTATCAAGAGACCACTTTGTGTTATTAACAAAAGACTTGACAAAAATTTACCGGTTGACTGACATTGGAATTTTTTTTCTATTAGAGATGGCGATCGATTATTAGCTATTTACACCTTTCTCCGAGAGCGTGTGTGTCAGAGCTCTGTATTATTTTTTGGCTCTCCGCAGTATATGTAAATATGTAACTAACATGCCAAAATATCAGCCCACAACATCTCAGCAATTAACGCTTTGATCACAAATATTTACACATTCACAATGCTTTGGCTTTTTACTACATATATTTCCTCCAAAACATTTATACTTTTATGGTTTCTTTGATGAAAAGAGAGTACCTACACATACACATAAACATATACATTTACAACCAGCAAATACACGGTAACTAAAAAAAAATCGATGTATTGCAGTCTCTGGCGCTCATTTTATGACAATCGTAAAGTAAAAGGCAACCAAAAAAATATGCGCATGCGCGTATGCCAAGCAAAGCGGTAACGCAATCGCGAAGTTTACATTTCACTTTCGATTTCGTTGGCTGTTGCGTGACTGTGACTGACTGCTGCAGCAGTGGGCATGATGCGGTGGCCAGCAGTCAAGCGTGAGTGAGAGGCATACCGCGCAGTGATGATGGCCAAAAGGTAAATAGTGTAAGTTTTTTGCTGTGGGTGTATGTGTGTGATTGTAAATCACTTTTATTTATTTTTTGCCTCGGAAACCATATTCAGTGTCTCCGTTCCAATTTCGTTTGTTGATACCTCACCTCAATAAAAAACTTTTTAACTCTCTCAATTTCAAGTCGAATTTTTTTTTTTTTTAATTTTGATTTCATCTGAGCAATCGATCTGTTGCATAGCTTTGCGCCAACTCTCTGCAAATGCTGGCTGCATACTCGGCATGCTCGTAGATAAGTATGTATGTATGTCAATATGTGTGCGAGCGTGTGTGTGGCTCATATGTGATTTTATGTGGCATTTTTGTTTTTGAAACTTCGCGCGACACTGTTATTAACCGTTTAGACATTGACGCGCGCGGCTCGTACTGCAACACAACATTCACGCGGTATGCACGCATGCAAAACTATTACGAAATAAAACGCTAAAAATCGATTGCAAAACGCATACGAAAACGACGGGCGACGGTCATTGAGTTTGTAATCAGGAAGTTTACATTTCGAGGTTTGAGTTCACAAAAAAGTAATAAATATCCCAAAAATAATGCTATATATAGAAGTATGTAGTTAACAAAAAAAATATAAAATTTAAACAGTTTTGGAACTACCCGTGTGTCGTAGTGTGTTTCTGTTTCAATAAACCAAAAAGAGCGTTCACTTCATAATTGCAGCACAGTGAGTCAGCTTAAATCAGTAGCAAAGCTAAATTAAATATATCAAAATTTGCTATGCTGTGCTACTTTGTAAAATATGTGAATTATTAAATGCCGAACATTGTGGAAAATTTTGTCTTGGCATCCTCACGCACGAAAAAATGTGCCTACAGCTCCATTGCGCGTAGGTACTCGTTTCCCATTTACTCTAAATGAAATCAAATTGCATTACTTATGCAAGTAGCGCAATCCAATTTAAGCAACATCAGTGCAGTTAAAAGTGTCGTAAAAGAGCGAAAGAAAATACAAAAAAAAATAAAAATAAAACATAATAACAATGAATGCACAGCAAAAAGAAAAACACGAAAACAAAAGCAATTATTAGCAAAGGAAGCAAACATAAATATATATATTTCCGTTCAATTATACCGGTTGTTACTTTATTAGGAAGTGAAATAAAACAAAAAATTGCTAAATTTCGAATTAGTCAAAAAAGAGTTGATTTTCAATTGCGAAACGTAACATTCTCAAGTGCAAAGCCAAGGACCAGAGAAATCAAAAGTAAAGTAATTTAATAAAATTCCCTCTCGGGCTTACCAATTCCACCAATTTGGTTTTGTGGCTGCGTGTTTTTTCCACCTGTCACATAATGATTTTGCTTATAGGCAGTCTTCCTGCTACAGTTAAGTTGCCACTGAAAGCAATAACGTTCTTTTTACTCTTCTATTGTATCGGTTTTGCGTATTGTGCGGATAAAACTTATAATAGTGTCTACAATGAAGTTGTTACGCCAGATTTGAAGAATGCGATTAAGAAAGAGCTGCCGAAAGAAGCCAAATTCTTCGACGAGTTGGATTGTAAGTAAAAACAAAGTACAAATATGTTCATAATGGGGCGTAATAGAAGAAATCCAAGTATGTCTAAATGTACTCAAATTTAAGAAAAATTTAATTATCAAACATGAACTTCCCTAACGGAATTTATGCAGCGTTTCGGTTTAGCAAATTTTCGAATTTAAGGCTACGGATAGAAAAAAATTTTACGAGGCTCAGTCTTTTGTGACTTGGTTCGTTAGACCTTTCGTACGATTGACAAGCAAGCTCTTTGTTTTCAAGATCAGTTCTGCCAATGCAGCACGTCTTATTGTAGAAATATGATATAATGCCACAATCCATGGTTGGTTATCTCAGCCAGTTCTTGTGTATCGAACGTTTTAGAACTGCTTTATGGCAATCTAAAGGCACTTCAACATAAGAAATAGTCAAAATTAAAAAAAAAAATGCTTCACAGAATGCACGAATGTGGTGTGGTGGTATTTTGCCTCAGTACAGCGATGAGCAATATTCATGGCGTTGATTGTTTTATATATTGATACTTTGTCCTTGAGAATGGACCATAAAGAAAAAATCCCTTGGGTTTAAGTCCGGTGAATATCGTGGTCATTGTTGCGAGGAAATGAAGCTGAAATTTTCTTTATAAAAACGTTGGGTTTCGCAAACTTTATGCGATGGTGACGAATCTTATGGAAATTTCCAAAAATTTCTATCATATTATTTTCGCGCCCAATCAACAACGAACCAATTGTAAAAGTTTCATAACCGGCCCATTTAGGCCTAAGTGTGACTCCATCCGGCACCTTATTGAGGATAACAATTATGATTATGATATATTTTTTTGAGTTCAATATTTTTTTTTTTTTGTAGTTTTTTAAAAGTTGTAACATCCTAAAGTAAAGGTCTGCTCAAACTTGTGAATGAGGGATAAATTTTTATTCTTTATTTAAGTAATTCCGAATATCAAATAAATTTTTATTCTTCATTTAAGTAATTCCTAATGACGGATCTGCGCCTGCTTGAACGAGTTTTAATAATTTCTGACGTTCGTAACAAAAAACCATACAGCGCAAGATGATTTTGCTAAACTACAAAATTTTTAATTTCATAAGTGAGTTACTTACAAATTCATTCTTAAACCGCTAAAAGTTTTTTCTTTATCTCTGCTATACTCCCAAAGAACTACACCAGTATTTAGAATTTTCGCAGGCAAGCTTAGAGTAATGTACTGACATCGAATGTTTAGGTTTCAGTAAAGCTAGATTATCCTTGTAGATGGAGAACACCGCTTTCAATAGATAAGCGTTTATGTTAAGCACAGAACACATCTCTACACAATTGCAGGCAGCCACCTGTTGCCTCAGCTCAGCAAAATCTTGGCTTACTTTTTATAGCCGCTTCATTCAGTTGGGTAGCGTATTACAAGTACTAAAGCCAGTCGCTTACCATACCGATTACAAACTCAACTAGGTTACATCCAATTATATTCAATGTTAAAATGTTGCATTCCGTAAACTAGAAGGTAAGCGATGATCCGCTAAAAACATATCCACTGTAGTCCTTTGGTATCTATTTTTATTCATATAAATAATTTGCATTGTGGTTGTTCTTGTTTTCGACACGGTGGGTGTACTTATGATATATTTTGGAACGAATTTCCGTCATCTCTTGTCAAATATGGTTTGCAGACAAACCGGCTTCGGCGTTGTAAATAACTATTTGAACAGCGAAATCGAATAAAAGCATATTTAAGTCGACAAATTCCCAATGAGTCAGTTCAAATGTTGCAATGTCAAAAATGCTAATTAAATGCCAATTAAAACAGCCAAAATATTGCAAAATACACAATCGCATAAGTTTTATAAGCATATGTACATACATGCATAACTAACTCCAAATATACACGCATACCATTCTTAGCGTAGAGGTCAAGGCTGAGTTGCTCAAAATAAAGCTTAAGGCGATTACAATGACAAATCAATAATGAGACAAGCGCCCGATAACCAAAATTAAAAAAAAAAAATATGCGCAGACACAACTCATTCGACCTTGATCTTCGATCAAAACTTATTCGCTTAACTTTTGGTTGTTACACAAGCTACTTCGGCTTTTGACATTTGCGGTAAATTATTTTTAAGTATGTATGCAGGTACTATATTATAACATATGTACATACATAGCCATTGTCAATTGGTTGAGTAATGAGTTTTCTTATAAATTTCAAGCGATTAAAAATGAAACTATTTCAAGGGCAAAGTAAAAAATTGTTTATAAGTAGGTACCTACATTAGGGCGGGTTAATTTTTTATTTTTTTGAGTAAAGCGTATGAGGATTCTACATGAAATTTTAAGCAAATTTTCCAAAGAAACTGGGGGTCCAAAATCAATTTGAAGTTTACCAAATTGCGAAAATAAGTTTCGAAGAAACTGTGAAAACTTTCACTCTTGCGCCCTCTGGTGGAAACTTTAAGAAAATGATAACTGCATAAATGGAATCGACATACCAAAAAATTCTTTATAGCGTATTTGTATAAAACGTTTAAGCCCTTCTTTACGATGCTTCGGCAAAATGCTTGGAAACCTATTTTCTCAATTTGGCCAACTCAAATTTGGTTTTAGACCCGTGATTTCTTCAGCAAATTGGCTACGAATTACACGTAGAATTCGTCTGTGCTATACGCGCATAGTCAAAAAACTCGCCCATACAAATTGGCCCGGCCTAACATACATAGTCTTGTTTAGTGTATTAAATTTACAACTTCTCTGTAGTTTAACATACATTGCATTAAGTAAGCTGGCAAGACACAACTACAAATACATAAATACTTAAGCTTCATCGCCTCTACAAACTAAATATTTCATACTGTTTTTTACAGAAAATGCCGGTGTAGCACACGGCGAGTTCAGTTTAAAAAAAGTCGACTTTACTTGGTGTTTCGAGATCACTTCACACAACACGATATGGAAACATTTGCACTGTTAAACTTCATAGAAATAAATTAAGCACTCCACTAAGAGAAAGTGCTTACTTTCGGCTTCAATGTTGTTTTCACAAAATATTTTTAACGCATAATCAACCATAAGTTGGTAAAAGTATTAAAATGTTTGCCAAAAATAAGCGTGCAAAATTGTAGCCGGTAATTAAAATCTAAATTAACAAGCTGCGCATGAGAATATCTTAGAAGCTGCATAAAAGTGAAAAGAAGCAGATTTCCTACATATATGCATTCTCATAGACCAGACCAAAAGTATGTATGCAAGTGAAACAGAAAATAATTGGCAAGTAGTAAAATAAGCTCAAAAAGTTAACCGACAATTACAAGTAATGAAATTCGGTAAAAATGTTCACTTTTAAGTGATGAGTGAGTTTTTTTGCAGGGACATAGCTGTTATAAGTTTTATCGCATAAAGGCTATTTCATAACAGTTATTATATGAGAAATATTTTTTATTTCGTCGATAAGTGTTATAACCCAATGTTTGTGTTTTACGTTGTCTGATAAACCTTGTAAGAAAAGGATATTGATGAAGAAAGATATGGAAAAAAGGCTGAAGACGATGAAACTAAGAGTGATCTAACTCATATCAGACCGCGTAAACAAAAACGTCAGACAATAACTGTTATTAAGCAATGTAAAATATAACTCTTATCGGCGACATCAGAGTACGGATATTTTTTGCGCTGACTCTATATACTCCTAGATTTTTTCCCCTTTAATCGAGAAAACTTTTGTATACATATAGTTTTAGTGATGTAGGAATATAATCCTTGCCTGCTAGGTGTTGAACGCTGTGCGAGATAAATTTCTAACATAAAAAGTGCGAAGGAAAAAAATTTGAATCTTACCGAGAATTCCCGCCCAAACCTCTTTCCGTTCCACATTACGGACCGAATAAATATGATATATGGCCCGTACGCAATATGGCTAGACTCGGATACCAGGGGAACTTTGAAGCTAAGCAACTTAACCCTGTTAAAGCGGATCTCTTTTGGTCCAGACTAACTTCTTGTCTGCAAGCCGTGAGACCAACCATGAAAAAAAGACACGCAGAAGTAAAACTTTTTTCTCGACTCCACAGAGAATAAATCGCGCTTCCTTGTTATAATGATGAACATAAGCATACTAGTATATATGTACGTTAGGGTACGCCTTATTTTTCAACTGTTATCCACAAAGCAACACTCACTCTTGATAGATTCATTTGGTCATAAGTGTTCTGCGAAAAATTTTTAAAATCGGTAATGGAAAGAGGGGTCTCGAGAGTCATATATAGTTTCAGCTGGACATCTTAAAGATGCTTCTGGGGTTTATCCCAGCCATTGCCTGGAAGATGGCTTCATGCGAAGCAAACGCA